AATCTCTTCGATCTTATATATTTATATGATACGATACTCTGTTCAAATTATTTTTAAAACAAAAATTGTAAACAGTTTTTCGTACACTTTCACACTCTCGTTTGAATGGTTTAGTTTCATTGCTTTTGTTGTCAATCTGGAAAACAATACCAGAGCTTAAATCAAATGGAAAAAAAATTATTTTGATTATTAAAAAGAAGTATAATAATCATAGCGGATTATATATTTGAATGAAATTCGTTCACTTTCATATTCGGGCCTTCTAAATGCATTCGTTAAGTAATAAAGGTTCACCAACTGTAATTTCCTCAAATTTGAAATAAAAACAGAGGCGAAAGCAATTCTTAATAGAAGAGCTTTTCCTGTTGCTAGAAGAAATCAAAGATGTGACACGATAATTTTGTTTATATGTTAACGGCAATAACTTCGAAAGTACAGGATAAAATAATGAACTAAAAGAGATATTAACCAGTCTAAGGATGTCAAATTTTAGTGTAATGATTATAAAATGTAGATTACCGTTGAATTACCTGTTCATCTAAGTTACAAATTACTAAAAATAGTAGAGAAAAAAAAAGTGAACTGAGCTTCTTTTTAAGTATCCACAACTTACAAATCTTCTTCATCTTTTCAACATTAAATATCTTCAGTTTATGTGTTGTGAAAATTAGATTTTTGATTGAAATCATGAGTCAATTGAAGCTAGACCACCATGGAAAACCTGGGAGCACTAGAAGGCCGTTTCGTCCTAGTATGGGACTCTTCAGCCGTGTGCATCCACGACCCTGCACCCCGCGAGATTCGAACCCAGGACCTATCAGTCTCGCGTGCGAGCGCTTAACCATTAGACCATTGAACTGGCATCCAATGGTGTTGATGTCTAACCTCAACCAATCCACGAAATTGCGTGACCATCTTCCATTGTACTGAGGTAAACACCTGTTTCTACCCGACACGGATTAGATCCACTGGTCACGGCTTGGACTGGCTGAGGTTAGACATTAACACCAATGGGTGCCGGCTCAGTGGTCTAATGGTTAAGCGCCTGGCGTGGGGCTGGTGGGTCCTGGGTTTGAATCTCGCGGGGTGCGGGGTCGTGGATGCACATGGCTGAGGAGTCCCATGCTAGGACGAAACGGTTGTCCAGTGCTTCCAGGTTTTCCATGATGGTCTAACTTTAGTTGACTCATGATTTCAATTAAATATTTTATCGGGTTCTCCCATTTTGAAATTTCTAAAATCTCGATGAATTCATATTGTAATACTTTATTTTTATAATTGTATGAATTTTAAAAAAAAATCTATTCGTAACTGAATTATTTATAATGAAAAAAGAAAATAAAGCGATTGAATTATGATTTAAAGTTATATCTCTGTATAAATGTTAATTATCTAGAAAGCGATAAACGATTATTATTATTCATTATTATCATTGCTTATAATGAATAAAAGTATATTCTAATGTACACATTTCTATGTTAAATCTATTACATACAATTAAACTTCTTATTTATTTAATCATCTAATTCAGAAATAAATTGTTTGAAATAAATTCAGGAGTAATTACTTGATTTTATTTTTGTATGATCAACCTATTGATTAGTCTTAGTAATAAAATGATTGATTTTTTGGTTTTCAGAAAAAAACAAAACACTAATCAACCAATCTAATCAGCTGTTTCTTATATATAGGATCCTGTATTCACCAGGTGGTTTTCATCATTATATCAATATTGACAGTATGGTAATAAAGAAATTCATCGTGTATATATATATATATATATATATATATATATATATATCCTAAATGCTATTCTTTTAAATGTTGTATTGAACAGCATTAAAATGAACTAATTAGGAGGGTTATCCAATTTATTAATGTGAAGCAATGATTGAATGGTTAGAAAATTTAATTTAAATTTCGTGATGGAGTATTAACTATAAAATGGTTTACTAAAAACCTGTATTAAACAAACATTTATTATACCGTCTTTACTACAGTATAATGCTAATCTCTAATTTATCATAAAGATATCCGGTAACTGTAAATATGCATGCCATTGATCGCCTCTGAAAGTTGTAACCCACGTTTTATTTAACTGATATGATAAGCAATATAAGTTAATATAAACTACTGAAACACATTTTAAACATTCGCTATTAACTAACTTATTATTGCAATGTTACAGTCGAGGATGGAGAGAGTCAGCTCGCCCTCTTTAAATGCTCTCACGTGGCCACGCGTGCACAACCTTTGTCAGGAAAGTCCTACTCACTGCCTTCTCGAACCAGGGGAATTGTTTACGAAATTTAGAAAACTAAAAGCAAATTTCGGGCGCCTTAGCCGGGTTGTTGGACACTGAGAGTTCACTTAGTGAAGTTGAAAAACCCTGATTCCAAACCTATGGTGCACATGGGCCACAGTATCCTGAGGTAACAAATAGCGTATGAAGCTATTGTTGGTCACCGGCTACCATGAGACCGCATCTCCTTACGCTGATCCGCCGCCCTGTAGATTAGACCTTTAGGTCAGAGGCTCTGGGAATGGTCCTCCAAGAAAACCACCTGTTTCGGTCTGGGCACCCAAGTAGTACCCCAGCTCTAAAACAAAACGAACGATTTGTGTGGCGCTTATGTATTCGGTGCCTCTTTGTGCAAAAATTTATATGTTTAAATAAATAATAAATAAACAGTAGTCAAAACATTGTCAATAACACATAAGAGATGATACAAATATATCGGCGAATATAATATTCTTTCGAAATGTAAACCTGGATGTCACGAAGATTCGTTAAATAAAAGGTTAATTATAATTAGTTTATGTTTAGATAATCATCAACATTTGTTGCTTTTAGGGTTTGCTTTATTCTGTTTATTGGACAGCTTTGGGGTCAGACATTACTTCTAATAAGTCAGCTCCAAATATGACATATTGGTTTTTTTAATTCAATGAATACATGTCATCAAAGTACATGGAAATGATTGTGCTAAAATAATTTTAATCAACTATATTTTTAAGATGTAAAAGCACATGTAGTGTAGGCAAACGTCAGCTGTAATACATCACAACATAAGCATCACAATAACCACCAAGAAATATAAATCGTATCAAATAAAAACAAATTAGATTGTTTCGTTGAATGTAATGATGACATCATTAAGCGATTACCTATGTCATGTTTGTTTAATCCTTAGTTTTGTGACTTTTGCCCGACTAATTAACACGTGATATGTTCGCCAATCAGAATACGACTTAGAAAATCTCCGCACTGTGTCAAAACAATCACCTATTGAACGGTGTGAACACCCTAGAGTCCTTATTGGTCCTTTCTCCCGCCTAGCCTTGCCTGTTAAATCAAGAACGCCAATACCAGATTCTACTACATGAATCACTTAGTTCAAACATACCTGGTTTACATACAAGCCAACCAGACAACATCAGTAGAAAATAACGTTTGTACAACATCAAGCCAAAAAGTTACTGTGATTGTGGGAGACTGCAATCACCAAACCGATTCAAATTTAAGAATAGTAAATCGTACCATAATAGTCAAATAGTCATAATAGGTCAAAATAAAGCTTATAATAATATGAATATAAATATACATAACGTAGTTACTCAATAGTTATACAATAAGAATATATGTATAATATTATTCCATTAGTCGCTCTCAGAAGTTACTCAAAATTTAATCTTCACTAGGATGTAAAATTTAATGTTGATTGAATTTAAATGTCTCCACTAGTCTAATTGATTGAAAACCATATGCACTAAATTTTTATGTTTCGTAGTTGAGAACGATCAATAAGTAGCTTTTGATTTAAGCATCGTGGTAATTAGCATTTATTATGAAGGTGTATCTGTAACTTTTAGACAATTATTTATCGCCCTGGGATTCACAATGTAACAACTACAGACATTACCATCAGCTATTCGATTAACGAGTGATCTTTATTAAGATTAAGATTTATGTACTCATGGATCATTGAGTTTTTCCTGAAACCATGTTTGTTTCTTCCTTAACACTGATTTATTCCTTCGGGAGTCAGTGGCAAAAACATTTTACTAATTTTAATAATCTAAATATGGTTGCGAAATTATTCTAGTGTTTTTCAATCATTATTTTTTCTCTACAGTTAAACTACCTATTTTTTACTAAAAACACAGAAAACAAACTTCAGTAAAAAAATTAAATCGTAATAAACAAGAAAATGGTTTTATGGAGCCAAATTTAATAAATTATCCTTTCTACATCCTTTACTTTTATAGTTTACTTCAGTGTAAACACATTCAATTACATAACAGAATAAGTTTAAGATTCATATTCTGATATGTTCAGTTTTCTAGTCAATGAATATAATCACCTCATAATATGATCGTTAGAAAACGAATTAATAACGTTTTTCTACTAAAGTACACACCTATTTATTAAATCAATAAACCGGTAGACTAAACACTAGGGAAATGGAAAAAAATTATTATTTTCATTAGAAATAAGTAAATATAGATTGGTATGTGTATTTCTTGATCCGATTCGCTTTAGCCACAATTATTCATTTGCTCATCGAAAAAATTCCTACATGCAACAAGATATCTAAAGATTCAAAGAATCATAATTTTCGGAATTTGTTATCAAAGACCAATTTACTTGTAAAATTACTGGAATGGGGTTATTGTGTATCACATATATGGCAATCTCTAGAATATAATATTGTATAAAATGTTTTAATCTAATCATATTTATGTGATTCTAAACGGTAAACCAACCGTTATTTCTGTCACCAGTTCACATCTGTGATATACGCCGGTTAAGGTTGTTAAGGTAGACAAACTATTGTTCATGTAAACACACACACACACACGTAGTTTTGAAGTGGAGGAAAAGTTTCAGTTCAGGAGCAGGATTTTGGTGGTGTTTTATCCTTTCAGTTCAATTTAGAAAAGCATGATACCCAGACTCCTTAGTAGTCAGTTGACCCAATATTTCGTTCAGGGAAAAGCTTGAAGTGCTACAGGCTCAATGATTATCTCAGCCTAAAAAATGGTGGAGAAGTTAACAAACAAGTGAAGAGGAGCATCAGAACCGACAAACGTAAATATGTGGAAGATTTAGCAACGGCGGCGGAAAAGGCTTCAAGAGAAGGAAACATGAGACAATTGTATGACACGACAAAGAAACTCTCTGGAAATCGCCGCAAACCAGAACGACCAGTGAAAAGTAAGGAAGGCGAGGTAATCACCAACATTGAAGAGCAACAAAACAGGTGGGTATAACACTTCAAAGAACTCTTGAATCGACCAGCTCCACTGAACCCACCCAACATCGAAGCAGCACCCACGGACCTCCCAATCAATGTTGGCCCACCAACAATTGAAGAAATCAGCATGGCCATCAGACAAATCAAGAGTGGCAAAGCAGAAGGACCGGACCACATCCCAGCAGAGGCATTAAAAGCAGACGTAGCGGCAACTGCAAGGATACTCCACATTCTCTTCAATAAGATTTGGGATGAGGAACAAGCACCAAAAGACCGGAAAGAAGAACTCCTGATCAAAATACCGAAGAAAGGCGATCTCAGCAAGTGTGATAACTACAGGGGCATCACTCTTCTCTCAATACCGGGAAAAGTCTTCAACAGGGTATTGTTAAACAGGATGAAGGACTCCGTAGACGCCCAACTTCGTGACCAACAGGCAGGATTCCGTAAGGACAGATCGTATACAGACCAAATCGCAACTCTACGGATCATTGTGGACCAATCAATTGAATGGAATTCATCACTCTACATCAACTTCATTGACTACGAAAAGGCATTTGACAGCGTGGACAGAACAACACTATGGAAACTTCTTCGACACTACGGCGTGCCTGAGAAGATAGTCAATATCATACAGAACTCATATGATGGATTAAAATGCAAAATTGTGCATGCAGGACAGTTGACAAAGTCGTTCGAAGTAAAGACCGGTGTTAGGCAAGGTTGCTTACTCTCACCCTTTCTCTTTCTCCTGGTGATCGACTTGATCATGAAGACGTCATTGTCTGAAGGGAAGCGCAGGATACAATGGACATCTAAGATGCAGTTGGATGATCTAGACTTCGCAGACGATCTGGCCCTTCTATTCCAAACGCAACAACAGATGCAGGAGAAGACGACCAGTGTGGCAGCAGCCTCAGTAGCAATAGGTCTCAATATACACAAAGGGAAAAGCAGGATTCTCCGATACAACACAGAATGCACCAATCCAATCACAATTGACGGAAAAGATTTGGAAGATGTAAAAACCTTTACATATTTGGGCAGCATCATTGATGAACAGGGTGGATCTGATGCAGATGTGAAGGCGCGGATCGGCAAAGCAAGAGCAGCATATTTACAACTGAAGAACATCTGGAACTCAAAGCGACTGTCAACCAACACCAAGGTCAGGATTTTCAATACAAATGTCAAGACAGTTCTACTGTGTGGGGCAGAAACCTGGAGAACTACAAAAGCCATCATCCAGAAAATACAAGTGTTTATTAACAGTTGTCTACGCAAAATACTTCAGATCCATTGGCCGGACACTATTAGCAACAACGTACTGTGGGAGAGAACAAACCAGATCCCAGTGGAGGAAGAAATCAGGAAGAAGCGCTGGAAGTGGATAGGACACACATTGAGGAAAGCACCGAACTGCGTCACAAGACAAGCCCTCACATGGAATCCTCAAGGCCAAAGGAAAAGAGGAAGACCAATGAACACATTACTCCGAGAAATGGAGATAGGCATGAGAAAAATGAACAAGAATTGGATGGAACTAGAAAAGAAGGCCCATGACAGAGTGGGTTGGAGAATGCTGGTCAGCGGCCTATGCTCCATTGGGAGTAACAGGCGTAAGAGTAAGAAAGTAAAAAATGGTGGAAATAGGTGTATATACATTGGGAATATAAGTATGGATGACAGTGAACCAAATTAAGTTTTGATAACAAAAATTGTTAGTCAATTGTGAAGAAACTTTGTTAATTTGCTTTCTTTTTAGTATTGTATTGGTTATGTTGGCAATAATAGTCTAACAATCAAGACAATCAGCTAAGACAATTAAAAGCCAGAGAGAAAATACATAGAGAAATAAGATCAATAAATTTCGAGTATTCACTTAGTATATTTCTTGTTACATGTTTGATACCAGTCAATAAAAATCCACCATACAAATTGCAAAATAATGACTTGCATTTTTGTAACAAACATTCTGTTTTGTTATCAGAAACGTAACATCTAATCATTCAGATAGGATCACAAAAAATGCTGATATAAAATTGTAATCACTACGATGTCACAATAAAAAGATTATGTAAATAATAATGGATCATTATGCAGTTTTGGATGGAAGATGCTCTTTTGAAGCGTCTAACTTCTTTGGAAAATAAGGATTTTGAAGATTAAACGGTTAAGGACAAATCAACACAAAAATTGCAAGGATTTTATGAAGACTGTTGAATTTTATGGGTTATATCACGAACTAACCTAAGTTAGATAATTTTTAAAAATTGACAAGTGCTAAATAGCTGTTCCGTTTTATTATGGAAATCTCCAACGGTAGTTTAATAGTATGAATTTCATTGACATCAACTTCTGTTATAGTCTTTATTGAGTTTCTTAAAGAGCTAGTCACTGGATTAGCGATACCTAAAGATGACCTTCCTAGTCGTATGTTGACTTCAGTTTCGCTATATCTTGATGATACAAAGGCTTAGAGAATGATAAAATGTAATAAGATTATCGACCGAATGCATTTGGATGGTTCATCTCTATTTAGGTGCATTTCAAAGCAGTCAAATCTATTATTCTGTCTATTGTGCACCAAGACATAATTAAGTACACAACGTGTAGAATTTAATTATCCAAAATAGCAGACCCATGGAAATCTACGGTATTTTATTCATCAGTGGACTTAAATCCTTGATCTGGGGCATTGTATACATTTAAAAAGACTGCTTTTAAAAAATATGAGATAATGTAAACAGTTTCGGTGTACTTGTGTATAACTGTTTACAACAGTTCTAATTTTTTGTATGACAACATATCGATTGGACAAAATTTATATCCTTTATTATGTAGAAGCATCCAAGTTGAGTTTAGTAAGTCTTTTGCTTATTCATTTTTTTTGCTTTCCAGAATTCCGAAAGCCCATGGATACGATGGTAATTCCAAAGGCTAAGAATTAGCTGCCTGCTAACTGATTACCTACTTCCACATCAGCATATCAACAGGTGGTAATAATTTTCTCCATACATTTTTACGAAAAAAAGTGAATTATTAACAAGAAAATATATGCTACTTATATATATTAAGTAAGTTAAAATAATATCAAAAAAATTAGAGAATGACCTCAACTTCTAAAGATGTATCAGATCAACTTGGATGGATTAAATTTTTTCATATGTAGACTCTTAAAAATAAATGTAAGGTACTTTGTGAAAATCACACCAAAAAAAAAACGAAGCATATAGTCAGGCAAAAAATACTTGGTAAAATTTAATTGATATACATTATTTTTGAAATGTATGACCTAAAGGATTATAAAGTAAGTTGACTTATCAGAAAACTGAAAAATATTCTTATATAAAACCATTGTTCACACCGTTATTCCGATTTTAATAAAGTAAAACGTGTAATTTTTTATATATAACGGATTTTATAACACAACTAACCTCCCCTATTGTGAACAATATAATTATAAACTGTTTTTAAATTGGCTTTGTCCAAAATATTCATAGAATGTAAGTGAAATGAAAAATCAGACGTTATTTTTAAAAATGTTACTTTCACTTCTCTTTTAATTGCTTTACTTTAGGATTTACTGGTAAATTTGGATTCAGCCAAGAAAAGTGACTACTTGAAATCGATAATCTATTGAATGTCTGTAGTTGTGGATCCGTATTAACTCGTAAATTGTACAATTGATTCATAAGTAATTTATTGATTGTACTCGTCCATAGTTGTTTCACTGTATTATCGTTTGATTTAAATGTATAAGTGGATCCATAGTTTTCGGTAAATAGTGAGAAACATCGATCATGTGAATTCGAAAATAACCCTATTTGATGTAGCTTTTAGAAAAATACAGAAATACAAAGAAAATATGATTCATTTTTGATATATTTTTCATTATAAATGTGTTCATGAAGAAATGACAGTATGTCGTTTTTTTCAGTAAAGTAATAGCCATTATAATGATACCGAGTCGATGGTATCAACAGTTATCCAATACTTTGTACGTAGCCAGTGTACACATCGTCTTAAGTCAGAACTGTTCATAACATTGTCAGTTGCTAAAATCATGTGAATTATTATACAAACAATCAAGAAGTAACTAGCTTCATCATCTTAAGAATCACTCAGTGACTACACACTTTTATAATTCTGTTCTAATTTAAAGTGACTTCGAATAATTTGTACTTGTTTTAACTCCTTGACTCAACGTTGATTTCATGAAGTATATAGACTCATAAAAAATTTATGACTTGGTTTTAAAAGCTTATTAATGTTGAAGATGTCAATTGCTGGTTACTAACTCAGCAGTTCGAAGGTAAAATACTAGCAGATAATTCTAGAGACCCTAAGTTTGTTCTCAGTTAGGGTAAGGAATTTGCTCTCCTGAAGAGTTCCGTATCTGGATATAACAACTGTTAAGTGTGTTCTGTTTTTCAAACGCTGTTTAACTAAACTTTGTCCATGATGCAAATTGTAAAGTTAACAATATTAATAACTATTTTTACTGAAAAATTAAAAAGAACCTGTACTTACACAAAGTTCTTCTTCTACTTCATATGATTTATTACCAATGAGCTTACTATTATGTGAAAAATCAAAGAATGCTAAATAATCATCCAAATTTGGAAACTGATCTTCAGAACTGAAAAATAAACAATTATCGTATAACATTCAGTAAAAAAAGATGGTTACCTCTTATTATTAGAAATTGATGTTTTAAACGAAACACGGTATTTTGTTAACAGTAACATTTCAGTAAATAAAATTACATGAAAATGTCGTTTTGACTTTGTAGGTTTGATTGTTTGGTTAACAGTAAAATCAGCTTCTAGCAAAAAATGTCCTAACTTTGATGGCGCTACCTGGAAATAAAAACAAAATGATAGTAGTTTTAGAAATAGAATTAAAATTGAACAGAACAGACTGTAAAGCAAATAAATAAATTTGTAACTAGTCAGAAAGTGATCTATAAGTCAAATTACGTGAGTGTTGTTGACTGAATCTATGCATAATTAAAGTTTGTGAATTATTAGCAAATAATAAATTAGTATAAAGGTTCTGAGGAGAGTGTTGAATTTTTTTAGTTTTGATTGCGGACTGAATTTGTATAGATGACGATTAAAAGTCGAAAAGCACTGGACAGACATTTTGCCCCTGTATAGGACTCATTAGCAGTGCGTATCCAAAACACCACCAGAAATAGGACTTAGAACCTTCTTTTTTGAAGCAACAGCTAAAACTCTAGACTATTGAGCCGATTTCTATTAATCTAAGTATCCGTTTTCAATCAGTTTGCAATATTGCATTGAGATCTTCCGTTACCTTATATGAATAACTGGTTTACTCTAGAAATGGTTCAACTTGACTTGGCACGGCTCTCCAGTGGCATCTGG